AAAATAAATGAAACTCATTTCCATGGCACACAAAAATTATTATTAAAAAAAGTCAACAGCGAAAATAAAATGGCAGCAATAAAAATGGAAATAAAAAATGGACAAAGAAAGAGAGAGAAAAGTGCAGGGCAATAGAAACGACATATAATATGTGCAGTATACAACAGCAAACCATAAATGGTTTGGGTGTGCACTGTGCAGCGTGATGATGATGATGACGTCCAAAGTCCACACACATAGCGATACTACACAAAACCAATTCAAATAGCACTCAAGTCGAATCATGTGGCCAATTTATATACTTCACAAACTCACGCTTTCTCATACAATGGACGTATAATCGTAAAAATCGGCCAACAACAACCGTAAAAATACGAAGAAAATGATAAAAAGAGAACCGAATTGTCCGTAAATAAAGTATAATGGAATTATTAGTGTTGTTAAATTTGCTCACATAGCACGCTATTACACGAATTGCCAACGAATGCGCAAAGTATCGAATCGGTGCATTTCCACATTCGATCCATTGAGTGTTATTGCCATCTTGTTTGAGGTGCGTTTCATTGTTATTGTTACTGTGTTCAGTTTAAGTGCTATTTGTCGTTGGCTGGTTACTACATTCCATCCTCACTAGTGACTAGTTGCCATTGGTCGCATATGCCACAAAGACCGCGTACGTACATCGTACACATGTAATTTGCAATGGAAATTAGCCAGTATATTTCTTTCTTCGGTTCCCTTTTGCACAACAAACAATGCCATTCAATTTCCATTGAATGCGAATGTCAATTTTATGCATTTTGCTCTCAAGTGTAAATTTTTATTTGGTTTTCACAATTTTCACCCGTTTATTTTTAGTTGTTTATTGTAAAAAACGTATGCGATTTAATACGTTATTATACAACGTGTTAGCACAAGTGACGCTATGTTGTGTGATTGAGCACAATGATTTTCACAATTGACCTTTTCGAAGTGAAACCACAGTAATCGACCCGGACGATGTGTGTGTGTGTCGACAGCTAATCGATATGTCGCTGATTGCAGATACCAAATCAGTCATTTTATTGATCTACGTGATTTGTGATGATAACGAATATTCCCAAAAGCCCGACCAGAGCGTCTATATAATACTATACGCACTCCAAGAGGAAGATATTAAAGAAAAGTCTGTGAAAAAAAGAACGTTGTCCAAAGTTGAAGATGTTTAAGAGTTGATGGGTGGTGAAAAATGTGAAGAAAAAAAGAAATATTCAACATATCCTCCATTATCGCATTATGCAATCAGTGGATTTACCACTTGACTGACTTGACATGATTGCCCCGCAAATATATCACATTTAATGCTAAATTGAAGCACATTTCAAGCAACTCATTCATCGTTCAACATTGTAAATGTGAGCCTATGAAGACGACGACGACATAACACTATAATGGTAAAAGATGCTATCAAAACCGAATTTCATATATATGTATGTGCACTAACTGACACATAAAAGCCCTTTTCCTTGCTCGGAAATTGAAGTACTGGCTTTTCCGTCATGCCAAAATTATGGCAACAACTGAACAAAACGAGCGAACAAATGCCCAAAAATGTATATGTAATTTTTGTTGGATTTACTCTACCAATAATATACATTTTGCTGGGTTCATCATTCGGATTTAGTGTCGTACCTTGTTATCGACAACCTCTTGCTACAAGACATTGCAATTTTGTCTTGTTGTTTTTTTTTGTGCTCGTGTGTGTACATTTAAATTTGGTTGTCTCGTGTTGAAATTCTTTCCATTGGAATTGGCATTTTCTTTGCTTTGAACATATTTATTTGGTTGTGTGGTTGTCGTTTCCTTCCGACTTCAATTCGCTGGCGTTTCGTTTTCTTTTCGACTTTATTTATTATTTATTTCGATTGGAGTTGATGGTTTTCGTTGTACAACAAAACAAGAACATTTTTCTCGTCGTCGCAACCGCGATGCATGAGTATATGTGTGTTTCGGGTGGATGTGATCCAAAGCCGGCTTAAGTGTATTTCCATTTCTTATGGGAGTTATAAATGCGTCGATATGTTTGAGCATTTGAAAACGGAAAAACCATTTTCGGTTCAAAGAAAATTTGTCTTTTGAACAAAAAAACACACACACACGAAAGAACGAAAAATATGGTTGATTGTGTTCATTGGCGAATGTTCCAATGGTTGAGTGTTGAATTTGTTTTCGCTTCGCATATTCAATTCGCAAATGCCGTACATTTTATGTATTTCCTTCCATTCTCTCGCTTTTCTTTCGTCTTCTTCGAATTGAAGTCTCCATCACGCCGACCGTATGATTCGACTTTTATTTATTTGTCAATTCAGTTGCTTGAGCTTATTTATTCGCATTTGAGCGTGTTTTCGTTCAAAAGGGAAACGGAAAGAATCCGTTTACAAAAGCTTTTCGTTTGGTTTTCGTGTAGTTCAATGTTGGATGGGCGTTCGAAATGTTGGGTTCTACATTTGGCTCGGATTATTGCGAAATAGAACCATTTTTGGAGGTAATTCGGTGTGAATAAAGCTTACACTTGAGCAATGTGAGGGTATTAACGGCAAAAATCGACAATGTAATCTTATCGTTAGCAAGCGACTCCATTTTCTATAGAAATACATGCAATCAAACCAAAAGCAAATTTGATGCCAAGGATTTTATTTCCATTCGACGAAATCCAAGAAAAGAAAAAGCGCAACCATCTCGAAAATGCGACGAGGAAAACAAAATACTTACATACCATTAGCATTGGATTGAAATATATTATCGAATCGTATCGTCTGTTCACATTTTTCGATTCATTCACTGCACATTTGAATGTGTATTGTCGGTCGACATCAGTTGTAACGGCTATAGACCCGATGATCGTACACAAATCGGAAATATCAGCATTTAGCATATTTTCACACATTTATTTCATGCGAAACAAGATTGAATAAGGAGATATCGTTTGCACACACAGTGTCACACACACACACACACACACACACACACACACACACACTGTATTCGTCAGAAACTCAAGCGACGCTCGGCTATATACCGAATCAGATAAATGGACCATTTTTCTTATTTTTTTTCTGTTGTCGCTTCTTCAAATGGCAGCAAATATAAAAACTTATCGCCTTTTCAACATCTCACATTTATTGCATTCGCAAATCGACCACAATGTATAGCAGCATGGAAAGATATCACTTGAGAATGATTTCTCTGGTACTTTTATGAGTGCAACAACCGACATTGCTGATTTTCACATGATAGAGCCAAGTATGAACTCTCTCCTTCTTCGCTAGCATACAACGGAGAATTGAAGACAAACAGCAGGATGTAACCGATAGCTAGTTGATTGGAACAAGCTACCATTTTTAGCTGATGATAATTTCCACTCTGGGAACCGCGTTGCGCGAGCTATCGATGCAATCTGTACCATATATACATACGAACGAAGCTTTTCTTGTCAAAATTTGTGCCACTAAGTGAGAGATTGATGTTTTCAAAAACATCAATTTAATATTCGCTATAAAGTAATTAACGTTAAAAACTTCGTGAAGTATTTGATTAGATGCCGTGATTGTTGTGCACGTTGCAGTCTGAATGGATTTGCATGAATTAACGCTGCGTTGACTATGTTATCATCGCATGTAATTAATTTACTGTATTCATTTTATCGACAATCTTGCATATTTTATGGCGAAAATGCAAAATTACAAGCATCTACAAAATCTCGCTCACAAAATCTATTATTCAATCTCATTTAAATGTGATTTTACGCTTCAACAAGCCAATTAATTACTATGCTAATTGCTGAATAAACAATAAAATCGTTTATACATTTTTTTAAAAAAAGGCACACTGTGCAAACAACACACTCAATTTAATGATCGACTGCATTTTTTCCGTCAACCAGTTTCAGTTTAGGCAACTAATTGCATGTTTGATGATTGCTTGCGGCACTTCGGCAATGAGACACATTGTATTTAATTAAAAAAAAAAATCAATTAAATTGTGCACTTGTTTTTTCGTGCCAAAATAACATTTCGATGAAAATTAATAGAAACATTGGGACCGGTCATGTGCGATAAAAAGCACCATTTAAAGTATTTATGCGCGATTTAAACATAATGACAGACAAAATAGTTGTGTGTGTGTTTTTTTGTTGTATGATTTCAAAGCTGTTTTTCCAAAACAAGAGCCTGAAAAATATTTGATTATTATTGACTATAATAATGATATTAGTTGAGAGCTAAACACTGTACATTACGATTTGATCGATTCACTAAGCCTGCTCAATTCATTTGACTAGTTCATAAAACCAAACCGAATAATAATGACCGTTTTTTTTCTTTTTCATTTATTATTCCGCCTACAACGTGCTTTATTTTATATCGTAAAATATTTTATCGAACTTTTGTGGAGTTGACATCATTGAATGTCAGTCGTATCGATTCAAAATATAGCCAATAAAATGGAATATTTAATATTTTCGGAATGTAATCACCAACTAAAAATGGTATTCTACACAGATTTAATAACCAATTCCATTTTTGTGTGCAAATCGTGCGGCGAAAAAGCAACAATAAACATTTCGAAAACATTTATATTTCAGACGTCAATTCACAGCAGTTTAATTGCAACTTGTTGGTCATAACACGTACGACATTCAATTGGTATCATAAAAAGACCATTTCATTTGTCGGCAGAAATGAACTCATTTAATAAATCCATTACGATTTTATTGATCGAAGTTATTGATTACAAATTGTGATTCAAAGTAAATGGCAATTTGATTACGAACATGAATTGAAATTGCTGCTGTTGTTTTATTTTTTACTCACTCTCGAAGGTCACAAGCTCAATGCGAGTCGGTATATATATATAAAAAATTAAGAAGTTCTTTTTCAACAATTGAAATACTTTCAATGCATTAAATTTATATAGTTTGTCGTTATTCTGACTTTGTTTCGTTTTTATTTCGATCATTACAGGGCTCTGATGGAGGTTCAGTGGTGTTTGCATCAACTCCAGCACAAGTTGCAACGACTGCGCCTAGTCCAACAGTACCACGAAAAACGGATTTCCCATCGACTGGTCTGCCGCACAGGTAACGATTTTATAACAATAACTTTTTGGTCATTTTTCAAACGCCATTCATTTACGCTGATCATTTTCATTTTACAGCAACGGACCCCTTACGCTGGGTGGCAGTGCAAGCCCAGTATCAAACGCCACAAGTCAATCGACACCAACAACGGCCACAACGCCAACATCATCACAAACACCACAAATGCAGGTTCGTATTTAAGAGAATTTATTTCGGCATGAACATCTGGTTAAAACGCAAACCGATAAAATCTACAAAACGATTCACTCATCACCTGTTCAACGATGTGAAAATCACAGCCAAAAGTCATTTGCATTTTCACACGCGCAAACTATATATTTTTTTGATGCAAGTCACTTTTGTATAAGCAAGCTTTGAATAAACATCCGTGTCATTATTTGTTGAGAGCTAAATGCATACATTATTCAATAATTTAAGAAGAAATGCGTCGTCGTCGCTGACTTTCATTGAAAATTATAAAATGCTTTGTCTTGCATATTTACACTTTCTGTTTAAAGTTTTGCGATTTATGCGTTTTCATCTGTGTAAACACATTTCGTCTGACTAATGTATACAGACATTTTCTATTAACATTTTAAAATGTGTGACGGAATTTATTGTCTGTGTAATTAATCAAGCGATCATCATTTGATTCAGAAGTATGACTTCAACGCTATAATATAAAAAAATTATAGTCTGTCATTAATCAGACAAGAAAATGAAACAAAGAGCATCGTCGGTGGACAGCGTCAATTCAAATACACAACTTATGCGTATCAAGTTTGTCGTTCGGTACACAAGTAAAGTTCTTTTGATGTAATAAGTTTTAATGACTTTTATCACAATTGCAATCTTGTTATTGCATTAATTTAAGAGATGACACAATTGATAGCATTCACTTTTTCTTCACATTTGTTGTTTTTTTTTCATCATGAAAATCTTCTAATATGTGTGTCATTCATACGATCTATGGCGAATATTACTGCCATATATAAACCGAGAATTTTTCATAAACATGACAACAAATACAGTGCTATTTATTTTGAGTGCTACTCAAGATAAACATAAAATTCAAAATGGTTTGTGAATTTGTTGATTTATGGATTGTGTCACTATTTGCCATAGATCATCGATATAAGCTGCTATTTACACGTTGAAAGCATTCATTTTCTGCAAATAATCAGGGATTATCACTTAACACCACTGATTTAATGCTTTCCATTCGATTTGCAATCGTTCGCATAATAGCGAAACAAAAAGTTGTGCGATAAAGGTCTAAACACCGTAGAGAAATATGTTTCTCTTGTTTTAACGTGTTTTTTTCACTCTCTACCGCTCTCTCAAATCGTTGTTGTATTTAATGATTTATTTTGAAATTTATGCGTAAATATGAGAGAAAATCTCAATTTTGTGTCGAGAGCTTAATCTTTACAAAATGCCTTCAAACTGAATTGACTCTTTTCGAGATAGAGAAAAATGATGAATGGACAACAATAATAAAATAACTGCATTAATATTATGCAAACTCATTTCATGTTTAAGCGTTTGCCCGTTGAGTGTTGGCCGGATAGTTGGATCGTTGAAAATAAGTTGAAAGTAAAAGACAAACGATTTTGCAAAAGTTATATACTTATGGAATGGCATCGTGTGGTGTCGCATCGCGTCGAATCGCACGGCGCATGCATAAATTGGTCATAAATCACAGAAAACCTGAAAACCATTCAGCCAGCACAACAACCACAACGAAAAAAAACCGTACTTATAAAAATGGCATTTTACGATTTTACAAACCTTTTCGCTTTTATGTCATCGACGATGGAATATTTCTTACTCTCGTTTACAAAGCTCAAAAAGTGTTTTCCTCTTACTTAAATTGAATTTTAAAATGAAATGAATGGAATAGAAAGGATCTAGACTACACAAAAACTATATTTCCGTCGTTTGCACATTTTTAGTTTTCCCGTTTAAGCACAAGTTTCTATAGAAAAACCACATCCACACAAACCGACGCAATTGAAAGGCAAAATGAACAAAACAAACAAAAATATGCTAATTTCTTTCAAAGAATAGCACAAGAAAGCTATTTGTGTGCACAGTACAAGCATTCATTTTCAACCATTTTTGTTGGGCGAATTTAATTTTACAAACTGCGCAGTCATGCCATACTTAATCGAAATCACAGCACTTTTATGCACTTGCATTGTTTACTTTTGCATGCATCAGTTCCGTTATTTGAATAATTGTATCCGAAATCTTGAAACTTTTTCTTGGCATGCAAACGGAACGAAAAATCATTCAATGTTGAAAGTTTGCATTTCTTCTTTCTCATTAAAAGTTTTTCACATCAATCAGAATAACTTACCACAAACGAAATTCATTGCTGGACTTTTTTTGCGATCGAAATTTTATTACAATGATGATGTTTGTTGTGTTTTTTTTTTCATTTCAATAATGGTCTTCTCTTTTTAACCAAACGACTCCTTTACACAATAGTAGAATATTTTATAGATTTGATTTTCAAATGCATTTTTATTTCGACGCATGGATAAATAGATTAAGAATCGAATAAAAGGAAAGAAAATTAGCATTGACTCGTTAAGTATTTGACGAAATAAAGTCAAGCAGTTCTTGTAGATGCAAAGATGTAATACAAAGCATGAACAATATGAAAATGCCAAAGAAAGTTAATTAAATTGTTTCTTTAAACCGTAAATCGTTTTTGCATTCGATGCTCAGCCAGAGTGTTTTGCATTCGATTCTCTGTTGCATTTAAAAAACTGTACGTCGAACAATTTTCATTAAAGTATTCATAAAATGAAGCGCTTGACATGTCGTTACTATGACTGAATTTTCGCCCCGAGATTCGAAAATTATTTTAATAACGTTGAAAAGAGATGCGAAAATGTCTTAAATGTGAGAGTCATGCCAGTGTCGTCATACCCAAATGTATTTGCATTGGAAGAGACCGAAACATGGTAATAGCTGTTTACGATATAAGTGCGAAGATATTTTATACGACTTATGCAATTTTAATTATTTCCCCGTTTTCATATCGCTTTCAACCATGTGCTCGAACCAACCAACTTATAACGAAAATTGTATTTGTTTCAACAAAATTGTCTGTCATGTCACAGTATGTGTGCGGTGGTAGTTGTTGTTCGTATTTCACAAAATATTTGCGCAGCAAGTGTTGGTTTCTCATTCATTTTCACAACATTCTACAACTTATGCAGCATTTTGTTTCAAAACTGCTTTTTCTTTTTCACATCTACTGGATTAAGACAGAGAGAAAGAGAGGACGAGCATCGACGTTGTTGGCAAACTATTTAAATGCACTTTGTATTCATGAAGTGAGTGTATGTGTACGATGTACGTGTATCTCTTTGGAAAATTTCTTTATCGAAATAAGGATATAAAAGAACATAGCAGCACTGCCAAACAATGTCATGCAAACACTTAAAGTTCGGATATCTTATCCGAAGATTTCACTTTTTTCTCTATGAAAATGTGCATAATTCAAAGTTATTTTTTCTTGGTTCCGACTCAATTGAGCAGCGTAGAGTGAACGTTTGTGTTTCATGAATCTCCTTGTTTTTCTGTTTATTTATTCATTTAATTGTTTTCATATTCTCTATCTCGCTCGTTATGCTTTTACATTATTATTATTCCCAAGAAACTTTATCTAACCGAAGTTTCGAAATGTGCCAACGTCTGAAAAGCAATGCCAAAGTTTTCAGCTTACTTCCGAATTATTTAAATCGGGTTCATATTCCTTTCACATCGTCAACCATTTTCTTGTGCTTATCCGAAAGTTGGAAATTCGTCGGATATAAAAATAACCGCTCAGTTATGATTTAAGTGATGTTTTTGTAGTTTGCTAATGTTTTTTTTCTTTTTGTGTTTGTTCTATTTAATTTCTGGTGCAGGTTTCAAATGGTCCAATAAACTCAAGTTCGCCGATCTCACCAAGTCAAACAGCGCCAAGTGGTTTGGTTAAATCGATACCAGCGAAAGTGCCATCAACCTCGACGAGTACAAGCACCTCACCTGGTAAACCAACACAGCCACAACAATCAACGTCTCCGGTAAGTTTTTGTCTCATTTTGGATAAACATTTCGTTCGGCACACTTTGCGATAAAAATTCATTAAATATTCGATTGATATTCAGACGACACATCAGAATTCACAAACACAGTCACAGCAGGCAAGTCCATTGGTAACGTTATCCAATGGCTTCGCCCCATCGACCATACCACCGATAGCTAGTACGACGCATTCAACGCCACTCATAACGTCACCAATTAGCCATCCATCAGCGATAACAAATGGCACCACTCAAAGTAGCGCTAGCGTAATAGGATCTGTTCCAACACAATCGCCGGCTACACTGCAGGTTTGTCTCTTCTCTTCACACGAATATTTTAATATTCATTGACTATGACTACTCAATGTCGTTTACTAATTTTGAAATTATATTGCATTAGGCTGTGGCACCAGCAGTGCATCCAAGTGCAGAAAACTCAACTGGTCGAACAAATAGTCCGGCAGTGGCTCCATCCGCAAATGGAACAAGCAATTTAACGCCATCATCAAATGGCGGTATTCCATCGCCATATCGATATCCAGGATATCCATTGTATGCGTACGTATTTCAATTCTCATCATTAGCGTCATGGGAAAATAAAATTGTGAAAAATCACTGGATTTCAATGTTGTTTTTTAATTTTCAGACCATATGGTAGTTTTCATCATGCAAGTCCTTATCCGGTGTCAGCGCCCATACCACCGCCAACGATTTCATCACCGTCGGCATCACCGCGAACAATTGATTCGAAATCAAGTCGCGACTATCCACATGTTCGGAGAATCTCACCGAATTCTGAAAAATCCGTTAACTCAGAAAACTCAGAAAAGCCCGTTGCACCTGTAAGTGTTCATCCATCCAAAATCATTTAACAAATCGATGAATTTAGATGTTTAATTAAAAATTTAATTTCTTTTATAGGCGCCGCCATTGTCTAGCAGTCTCAGGGAACAGACATCTCATTCAATATCCAAAAGTCAGTCGCCACGTGGTCATAGTCCATCGCGCGATCGTGACAATTATAGGTATGTTTTAGTAATATCATTGTTTCTTTTTTCTTCTGAATTATTAATCGTTTGTATGGATTGGATGGAAATGGTACTAAAAAAAATATCATCTGCGCTACAAGTTCTACAAAAGAGCCTAACTATCATTCATTGATTCATCTAAAAACTAATCGTTACAGTAGCAATGTAAGCAGTTTATCTAGAACATCAACACCGAATTCTGGCATAGCATACCCAGGTCCAGTTTCAGTATCAACTGGCACAATATCATCAGTGTTGCCTTATAACAGTTTGTCATCGACAATCGCATCATCGTCGTCGGCGGCGCCACCACCAAATGTTGCCGTTACATCATCTAGTCTTTCTTCTTATCCCAAACTAACCGCATCGAGTTGGCCTAGGTAAAAGGCGCATTTAAATATTGTTATTATGAATCTGCGATTCATTTGACTCATTATATAATTGGGATGTCAAAATGCCGCAACACAACTTATTTAACAATTAACCAAAGACAAAAAAAATTCTACTGACTATTCAAGTTTGGATTTGAAATCAAAATTGACCAACCCACGAATTCGGTTTTCAGAGAAATTTGGCTATAAAAAATGCATTTTTTAGTTTTAAGTTTAAAAAACAAAACGATATAAAAATGTGATAATTAATACGTTTAATTATGTTTGGTTTTTAGTGCAAGCAGCGCACAACTGTCACCGGCAATCACAAATACAATCACAAAGCCAGCACCGCCACAAGGTTCGATTGCATCGGCACCGTCTTTGCATTCGACAGTAACAACTCATTCATCATTTCCACCTCCTCTGTTTGCAACTCCGTTGCCGCCAGTATCGTCAGCTGCAAGTGTCACAACCTCCGCTCCGCATCCATTTTCGGCCGAGTCACTGTTTCAATCAAGCAAAGGTAAGTTGAGCTCATTTCACATTTTACTGTTGTTGTTTTTTTTACGTTTTGAAGCGAGCATTGAATTGATTCTTCATTTTTTTGTAAAATCAATTTCGCTGTGTCTTCAACCAATTCCTGTCTCTCTCTGTGTGTATATTTGTGTGCCTGTAATCATAACCAATTAGCTGATCAAGCTGACCATCTTCGTCGTGAATTAGATAATCGATTTTTGGATCGTGCTGGCCTAACTGTGGTACCATCTTCGCCGTATCTGCGCCAAGAATTGCACCATCATCAACATCAGCATACACATTTGCATCAACATCAACACCAGCAACCGGTAAGTTTGATCTATTTTTCAGATATCTCGATTACAGTTGACTAATATTCTTTTTTCTTCTTCTTTCTCTTAAATAGCCCAATCCTTCACTATTTCCGCCACCATTGTTCAAGGACATGCCGAAATTCGACTCACCTTTTCATCGAACCGGTTTGGGTGTTACGTATCCTGGCTATGGACCAAGTATTCTGCATCCGCCTGGTCTGGGAACGCCATTTGTGCCACCAAACCATGTTACATCATTCGCACCGAAGGTAGATTTCGAATCAATATCAAATCATCTCAAAATTGCATGCGAACTCCATAAATAACAACAACAAATTATTATATACATACACAAGAGCATCTTCACCTCACATCTTTCATACTTTACTAACAATCATTATTACTGGGGAAATACTCGTGTCTCTATTCTACTTTTCTTCAAATGAAACGGGTTCTCTTTAATACTGACACTTTTTTAATGGAAAACGCTTTAAATGCAATTGGATTTGATTTTGTTTTATTTCTCTTGGCATTATAACAAACAAAACATTTACGCTTTTTTATTTGTTCAGCAGCCTCAAGCGCATCCCGCAGTTGAATCCACTAAACCTAAACAAGTGGTAGGTGCCCCATTCTATCTGGAATTGAGTTCTTAAACACAAAAAAAAATTGATTGTTTATTTGTTGTCAATGTTTAAATTCTATGTTTCTATGTTTCATTTGTGCATTTTATTTGGTTTATGTCAGCCGGTGTATATTTGTATGAGATTGGAGACTTTTTTTTTGCGAATCTCGCTAATGAGCGCCATCTGATTTTAGTGTGAATTAGATGCAAAAACTGAATTTAATTCTGTAGCATTGAAATGAAAAAGTGAAAAAACAACAACAATAGCACGGCCACACAGAGCTGTACATCTATGCGTGCTGATGCATACATACACATATACGCTTTCTTCATTCTTTCATTCCATTGCTATACGTATCTCACTGGTCAACAGATCTATGTAGCCATGTTACTGTTGTTGTTTTTTTCTCTTTTTCGATTCAATTCATTGTAACTAAATTGAGTTCAACTATGGAATACAAGATGGCACAGATGAGGGGAATTCGCATTTTGTCTCTTCATAGGCTTAGCCGGTTGGTTTATGTTTTTTTTTTGTGGAAACGAAACAACAGCAAATATTCTGAAAAAAAGGCACAACAAAATAACATCTCATTCATTTAAACACACGTTTTAGCCCACTAATATTATGGCTTAGGAAATGTTTTATCATATTTTAACATTATTTTCATTTTGCTTTAATCTTAAATAGAAACCTGGACGATGGAATGCAATGCATGTTCGAATTGCTTGGGAAATTTTGCATCATCAAAAGAAAGAAAATCCAGACAAAACATCGACAACGCCAAATCTCGCAAAAGCAGCAGCTACACCATCAGAAATGCATCGACCGCCATCGCATATATTCTCATCAGCGAACGTATTACAAAGACCACCTGAAATGTCAACGACATTTCCACCAGGTTTGCCTAGACCGTATGATACGGGCTCCATTCCATCTGGTTTCTTAGCAGCTGGCCCAACTAGTCATTTAGGTATAGTTGATCTGATACGAACCATTGAAATCAATTGATTTTCTTCCACATAACTAATGCAAAATGTTCACACTATAGGAAATGCAGTTTCACCTTTTGGTCGATATGCATCACCGTTCAACAATTTCCCTAGCTTGACCTTTGGACGTGATATTCCAATTGGTGCGCCGCCCACATTACACGATCCATGGCGAAAGTAAGTTTTTTGTTAATAAGAAAAAAAGTTTTTCACAAAACTAATTCATATATTTCCAATTTTAAAATGTAGTCCTTTACCAAGAGCTGTTGCGGGCTATCCACCAGCATGGACATTTAAACCAGATCCAGCAATAGAAGCGTTGCGACTTAGAGAGGCCGAAGAAAAAGAGCGTGAACGAAAACGGCGCGAGGAAGAGGCGCGACGCGAACGTGAAGAGAAAGAACGACGAGAAAAAGAAAAGGAAGAAAGAGCTCGAAAAGAGCAACAAGAAAGAGAACAACGCGAACAGCGTGAACGTGAACGGGAACGACGTGAAAAAGAGCGTCGTGAATTGGAACGAATTGAGAGAGAACGAATGCTACAACAACAACGTTTATCGGAAAGTTCAAAAATGCAAAGAGAACGATCGCCGTTACGAAATGGAACCGATTCGGATGTGTCTCGCATCAAAGAAGAACCAAAACGTGAAGACGAAATGATGATGCGAGGACCTCCAAACGTTGTACCTGATCCAAGATACGCTCATGCACAACACCTTGCCGCTCAACACTACATGGTTAACAGACACATGATGCAAGGACAAATGCCACCGGTAAGTGTTTTCTCTCATCATTTCTCAGTATAGAATTTGAAATATTTCTAATTACGTTGTGTTTATTAATTCACGACAGCTTGGAAGAAGTATTTTGACACATCCGATGGCAGGACCGCCAATGTCTCACTTTCCACCACCCCCAGCTGGTTGGCCATCGCCCGCTTTAGATGCTTACCGTGATCCATATCGTTTAGATCCAATGCATCAGCTGCGATACGCCCCTGGTGTCATGGAAGCATATCGAGCCGATGAAGAACGTGCCAAAGCAATGTATGCAGCTCATTTGCGAGCTAAAGAGCCCAGTCCAATACCAGCACCGCCGAATCGATTGAATCCATCGGTCGGTTCATTAAAACCATCAGAAAATGCTCCCGCACGATGAGACTTAGATAAATCCAACGCATAAATGTAAAAAAAAAACACAAACCTTCTCTCTTTGACCACGGTCAAAGCTTTTAGGAAAAACCAAAATTCATTATTATCAAATTTGAACTGAATGTATAAATGTATTTAAAATACATTTCTTTTTAACAAAATGACTAGAAATTCGATTCATCGCAACGAAATGAATTGAACAAAAATGTGGAAAAGAAATGCACACACAGAGACACACACAAACTCAAAATAAATTTGAATCTTGTCCAAAAGAAAATTACGAATTATTGAAAATATTTTTTAAATTTAATTTTTTCGGGATAGAATTAATTTTGCAAGAATGTTGTAGTGTGGCATCACGTAAATGCGCACTATTTGTGATCGTATCCAATTTAACATTTTCGTTAACATGAAACAAACAAAAATAAGTAAATAAATATTGTCAAGGGACACATATTGATACTACATTCATATTTTGTACTGATATTAAAAAAACACACATTGATACAACAAAAAATATCAAACAGCATTCATTTTATCAATGGAATGGCGTGGAAAGTAATAATTTAAACCAATTATGAGTGGATCAGTAAGTGATATATTAAATTAAAACAAAAATAAATATACATTGATTATATTATTATCGAAATAAAAAAAAACTGTTTTTTCTCAATGCAATGTAGTTGACCGAGATCGATGTTGTGTGAATGCTTAGTATGGTCAATTGTGCACTGTTTAAATTGCAATTACAACCACTGACCAATTAAAAAAAAAAAACAGAAAAATAAATTCCTTGCCCCATAGTATTGGAGTTTCATTTAGAAAGTGCTTTTCAAACTTTTCATGGAAAATGTTCGTGTAAATTTTGTAATAGATAAGCGTCAAAAATAAATTAATATATATAAATTAAAGGAAAAAAATATAAATCGGGGCTCATGTGATGTGATTGAATTTTTTTTAAATTTTCAAATTGCAAAACAATTCAAATGTTTGGCATCAACGAGTGATTTATATATTAAACAAAATGGAAAATAAAGTAATAAAATGAATCACGTCAAATGAGCCAGGATACACCCACAAATTTATGACAAACGGGTGGCAAATCCAAATCAATTCAATACACAAAACCTATAATTGATTACAATAATAAAATGACCGTTTAAATGAACATTAAATTCATTCAAAGCACACACAATCTCTTGATGTGAAAAAAGCACCACATTTTGAATTAATTATATGAAATGAAAACGAAAAGTTTCATGAATATAGAATTTTAAACTGCTAAACACGAGAAATGATGAAGAACAAAAATTCTAAAAATGACGACCACACAAAATGAAATAAAATTCAATGCAAATTCAAATCAAAAAGCAACATCTTATTTCGTTACCGTATGAAATGAGCACAAAAAAATAGACATTTCAATTTTAAAACAATTAGTTAGGCAGTTCTGAATAACGAACGACAAACAAAACTCAATAACCATTCATGCAAGGCCATATGGAAAATCATTATTGGTTTTTCATTGGAAATTGTTTGAAAATTTCGTCAAAAAACATATAGTCTAATTGAAATACCATGAATTCGAAAAATAGTTCAATGGAAATGACTAATTTACAATTTCGTTTTTTTTTGCGATCATCATGGTTTATTCAACCATAGAATGAATTTATAATTTATTTTATCTAAATTAATTTTTTTAAATAAATTTTATTTGTAACAAAAAATTTCCTCTAAACTTAATTTAAATGAAATCGACTTGTGAACAGAGACTTTATGGTTTAAAACCTGTTCCAAATGATGCGGAATATATATTCAGGCCAAAAAACCAATCTGAATACATTTGAAGAAGAAGAAAGAAAAACGGAAAAAGTTGAATATTAAATGAAGATTTGTTCGCCCAAAGCTCGTAAGAGTATTTAAATTGTTCGATCTCTATAAAAGTGCAAATATTCCATTTATATGACATACTTAGAATTCGTCTCGTTATTCTTGTATTAATTATTGAATTTCGGACGATAAAATGAGCAAATATTTGTAATTGCACTGAACGATCTACATGATAAAAATTCTCTCTCTATCTTTGTTGCAAAACAAATTTAAATGCATTTTTATACCAATAGAAAAACAAAAACACTCAACTCTAGTTTTATAATTCCAATTTAAATGCAACAAATGTTTTGAAGTGACTTGTACATTTCTTGCATTCGCGCTAAAAATGAAAACTAAACCTTTTAATTGAACATAACTAAATAATGTAGAAGAAAAAGAATATTCTCGTAAATTTCTTTAAAAAAAACATAAACAAACAAAAACAAATGATCTGCTTTGTAAAATATTTGATCGATGTATAGTGAAAAAAAAACTTTCGAATTTTCTTTATGTTAGAGATATAACAAATGAAGATAACAACTACAACAAAAAACAACAATAGCATTAAGCAGATATGATATATACTATACAATGTCATGTACGAGAACATTCTTACGCATATAATTTCCTCTCTTCATTGTTTTATTTATATCTTCGTAGGATAGACTTTAAATTGTAAATACCTTCAATCAATCCCCCGATGATCCAGTGATCAAACATATATGAGATACAAACAAAAACACATGAATTTGGTTTCTCTTTTTGGACAAAGTAGATTCAATATACTAAATTCGATACACAAAATTTGTTTTCGTTTTTGGTAGACAACGCAAAAGTACATAGTTGAAGCTCGTGTATATAAAAGTAAGAGAGATCGTATAATTAATAATTAGGATTCATAAAATGGAAGTTAAGCAACAAAAACACAAACATATATGAAAAAATTAGACGATTAAGCCAACAATTATATTTAAATAATTATTATAAAATTATCATTATGGAGAATATACAAGACCATTTTTGTAGATAATTCTGTGGAGATGAAAAAAGAAACACACAAAAATAAATTCAATATAAACAAATCAAATAGTTTATCATTTTTTTTTACTTTTTTGACAACAAAAATAATGGACATTTTGAATTTTCAATTTTATTTATTATTTATACAGCACACTTATATCGCTAGTATTAATTTTCAGCACTTTGGGATTTTTAAATATAATTAATCCAAAAGGATTAATAGTTAGTCCCAAGGGATTAAATTATTATTTTATAATTATAAATATATTTTTATTTTAAAATTCAAGCACATTCTCTAGCGAGAATAACAATAATTGTATGGCAACACTCAAACGTCAACTATATGAAAGTAAACTACTACACACGCATCACTTCTACTGGTGAGTCAGTCGTTGAACGTCGTTCGTATACATGTTTCCACTGACTCGCCAGTAAAAGTGATGTGTGTGTAGTAGTTGACTCTCATATAGTTGACGTTTGAGTGTGATCAAACAATTGTTGGTATTCTTTCGTATGAAGTTGAGATAATAGTATGAGATAATGTTTTAGATGCTGGCTAGAGAATGTGCAAGAATTTTAAAATAAAAATATATATTATAATTATAAAATAAAAATTAAATCCCTTGGGACTAACTATTAGTCCTTTTGGATTAATTATGTTTAAAAATCCCAAAGTGCTAAAAATTAATACTAGCGATATAAGTGTGAGGGAATACAGGGAAAAGTAAATTCTATCTATTTAAATATATCCTTTGAAGATACCTCAACCATATGTTGGAGCATTTTCTGCAGATATTTGAAATTGAATAACAATTGCAACGTATGTTGTTATCAAAATAATTGCCTAAAATTATAA